TGGAAAGTCTTCAGGAGATTGAAAAGGAACTGCTCCCTTATCAGCTAGAAGTCAAACCCATGGTGATGACTAAAGAACAGGAAGCTGAATTTCAAGCCGCTACACATTGCTACATGTGTGAAGACCTATTTTATGAAGAAGAGAAAAAATGGCGTAAAGTACGCGATCACAATCACGCCACGGGAGAGTAGCGCGGAGCGGCTCATGCTATCTGTAACCTAAACAAGAAACGCAGTACTCACATACCAGTCATTTTCCATAACCTTCGTGGTTATGATAGCCATTTGATCATGCAGGGGATTCATCGTTATGCCAACAAGAAAAAAATAAATGTGATACCCAACAACATGGAAAAGTACGTCTCCTTCCAGCTTGGGAATCTAAGGTTTTTGGATTCCCTCCAGTTCTTGGGGCCAGGAACCAGTTTGGATGCCTTAGCTGGGAATTTAACAGAGTTCCCACACCTCAAAGAACATTTTGATAAAGTGTGGTCTTTCAATAAGACAGAAGATATGCAGCTGCTTTGCCAGAAAGGAGTCTATCCGTATTCCTATATCAAAAATTTTGAAGTCTTTGAAGAAACCAGATTACCCCCTAAAGAGGCTTTCAAGAATGACCTGACTGGAGAAGACCTCCCTCAAGAAAAGTATGAATTCGCGCAAAGAGTTTGGAGAGCAATGGGTTGTCAAACGATGGGAGATTACCATGACCTGTACTTATATCAAGACATTTTCCTGTTGGCAGATATCTTTGAGCAGTTTCGTCAGGTGTGTCTTACTCATTATCAATTATATCCTGCGCATTACTATACCGTGCCTGGGCTCGCGTGGGACGCCGCGCTCAAGTACACGAAAGTCAAGCTTGACACACTCTATGATGTTGAGATGCATCAGTTTTTGGAGCAAGGCATGCGTGGAGGTATTTCAATGATCAGTCATCGGTATGCCGAAGCCAACAACAAGTACCTGCAAGAGTATGATCCTGAAAAGCCCATCTCATTCATCGCATATGAAGACTCGAATAACTTATATGGAGAAGCCATGGTACAATCGCTTCCAGTGGGTGATTTTAAGTGGGTGCCTAATCAAGAATTGTCTTCTTTAGATGTGATGACCGTGGATGATGAGGCTGACACTGGGTACTTTTTAGAAGTAGATTTAGAGTACCCTCCTGAACTCCATAATCTGCATTCTGATTACCCGCTAGCCCCAGAAAAGATGCTTATCACCTCAGAGATGCTCTCTCCCTATCAGCAGCAATTAAAAGAAGACCTGGTTTACAAACCTGCAAAAGTGGAAAAGTTGGTTCCCAATCTCTGGGACAAGACCAAGTACCCTATCCATTACCGCAATCTCAAGTTTTATCTCACACAAGGTCTCGAGTTGCAGAAGATTCATCGTGCGCTTCAGTTTAAGCAGGAAGCCTGGTTGCGACCCTATATTGAACTCAACACTCAATTAAGAGCCGCAGCTAAGACGGAGTTTGAGAAAGATTTCTTTAAACTCATGAACAATTCTGTATTCGGAAAAACAATGGAAGACGTACGCAAAAGAGTCAACATCAAGCTGGTGACTGAACCCTTGATTTTCAAGAAACACGTGGCGAAAGTCACCTACAAGCGTAGCGAGGTATTCGTGAACAATGAAGAGAAGGAGGAGTACTTTGTGGGGATAGAAGCGAAGCGCACCTCTATAAAGCTCGATAAGCCCATCTACACGGGCTTTACTGTCTTGGAGCTATCCAAACTCCACATGTATGACTTTCACTATAACCATATGATGAAAAAGTACGGTCCACAGAAAGCTAAGTTGCTTTTTACCGACACAGACAGCCTAACATATCAAGTCACCACATCAGACCTGTATCAAGATATGAAACAAGACCTGCACTTATATGACACCAGCAATTACCCAAAAGAGCACCCCCTGTATAGTGAAGTCAACAAGAAAGTCATCGGGAAATTCAAAGACGAGACTGCTGGGCTCCCTATTGTTGAGTGGGTCGGTCTACGAGCCAAGATGTATTCCATAAAACTTGATGATGGGAAAGAGAAGAAAACAGGTAAAGGCATCAAGAAAAGTGTCTTACAGAAAGAAATCAGGCATCAAGATTTTAAGGACTGCCTGATGGAGAAAAGAGAATATGAACATTCTATGATGGGTTTTCGCAGTCAGCGTCATCAAGTGTTCACCCTGAAACAGACAAAAAAATCACTCAGTCCATTCGATGACAAGCGATATATTCTGTCAGATGGCTGTACGACGAGAGCTCATGGTCATCGGCAAAATGGGGTTGTAAGGCCTTCTCAAACACCTACTGAAGTAGAACCATCTGAGGAAGGACTAGTCGACTCAATGAGAGCGCTATCTTTATCAAGTACCAGCATAGGTCTTTCAGAAGCAAGTACCAGCATGGGATCTCATGTAAATCTACAAGAATCTAGCATAGACTTAGCTGCTCCACGTGCATTACCGCCAGCCCCTCCTACTTCAAATGTATTTCATACTTATCTTACTTCTTTTTGGAAGTAGACTTTATTAAGACTTTATTAAGGCTTTTTCAATACTTTTTCATACTTATTAAATACTTTATTAAGACTTTATTAGGTATCTCGTGGAGGTAAGGTAGCATGGAGGTGCCAACCCCCCAATAGCTTTTTTCTAGGATTTCTTAGGGGGTAAGGTCTGCATGGTGGCGCCAACCCCCGACAAGAACATTTGCATGCTTTTTTAAAACAAGCCTAAGATAGGTGTTGTAAGGTTTCATTAATAGTGTAAAATAAACTTTATTACTTAAAAACATTATGTAGTGTCTTTCTCTGGTTATAAGGGGTGTTACATTGTTTATTCACAGTAGTAAGAGCCGCTCGTTCTTTAAATAACCGACTCTTTATCAGAAAGTTCTCTATCTGAAAAAATCAGAGTCTTCCTCTATGGTAAAAGCTTTCCATGACTTAAGAGGCTGCCATCCTTTATTGAGGGTCTTATTAGATGGGTTGCCTGTGTAATGCTTCTTAGCTTTTGGCTTTACTTTAGTCTGTTTCTTTGGTTTCGTAGTTTTTTGTTTCTTTGCTGGTCGTTTTTCACCTTCTGCTTTACTTTTGCTGGCTATGTAGGACTTTTTGGTGGATTCGAATGGTCTTTGCGGTTTAACCTCTGGCAGATTTATATATACAATAAAATGACACTCGCACGCCAGGAAGGCATCGAAATGCGAGTGTCCTTTTGGAAACATATTTTGTAGCAATGAAATGACACTCGCACGCCAGGAAGGCATCGAAATGCGAGTGTCATTTTATTGCTACAAAATATGTTTCCACAAGTAAAGTTTAATACAGATATATCAAGAAACGCTCAATACATGGTACTCTTTCGTAGTCCAAGCGATCGTAAACAGATTGACATTATCGCAGAGCGGATTTTCGCTAAAGACCGCTCAAACTTCATGAGAGCTTATGAAAGCGCTAGCGCAAAGCCTTATGGATATCTTTTGATAGACAATCAGCCGAAGACCACAACAGAAAAACAAGTGATCTCGGATGTCTTTGGACAGTGTCAAAGCTATCGTCACATTACTTCAAGTACACAGGTTATCCCAGAGATATCCCAAGATACCTCTGTAACAGACCCTCGATGTATAAATCTGCCAGAGGTTAAACCGCAAAGACCATTCGAATCCACCAAAAAGTCCTACATAGCCAGAAAAAGCAAAGCAGAAGGTGAAAAACGACCAGCAAAGAAACAAAAAACTACGAAACCAAAGAAACAGACTAAAGTAAAGCCAAAAGCTAAGAAGCATTACACAGGCAACCCATCTAATAAGACCCTCAATAAAGGATGGCAGCCTCTTAAGTCATGGAAAGCTTTTACCATAGAGGAAGACTCTGATTTTTTCAGATAGAGAACTTTCTGATAAAGAGTCGGTTATTTAAAGAACGAGCGGCTCTTACTACTGTGAATAAACAATGTAACACCCCTTATAACCAGAGAAAGACACTACATAATGTTTTTAAGTAATAAAGTTTATTTTACACTATTAATGAAACCTTACAACACCTATCTTAGGCTTGTTTTAAAAAAGCATGCAAATGTTCTTGTCGGGGGTTGGCGCCACCATGCAGACCTTACCCCCTAAGAAATCCTAGAAAAAAGCTATTGGGGGGTTGGCACCTCCATGCTACCTTACCTCCACGAGATACCTAATAAAGTCTTAATAAAGTATTTAATAAGTATGAAAAAGTATTGAAAAAGCCTTAATAAAGTCTTAATAAAGTCTACTTCCAAAAAGAAGTAAGATAAGTATGAAATACATTTGAAGTAGGAGGGGCTGGCGGTAATGCACGTGGAGCAGCTAAGTCTATGCTAGATTCTTGTAGATTTACATGAGATCCCATGCTGGTACTTGCTTCTGAAAGACCTATGCTGGTACTTGATAAAGATAGCGCTCTCATTGAGTCGACTAGTCCTTCCTCAGATGGTTCTACTTCAGTAGGTGTTTGAGAAGGCCTTACAACCCCATTTTGCCAAAGACCATGAGCTCTCGTCGTACAGCCATCTGACAGAATATATCGCTTGTCATCGAATGGACTGAGTGATTTTTTTGTTTGTTTCAGGGTGAACACTTGATGACGCTGACTGCGAAAACCCATCATAGAATGTTCATATTCTCTTTTCTCCATCAGGCAGTCCTTAAAATCTTGATGCCTGATTTCTTTCTGTAAGACACTTTTCTTGATGCCTTTACCTGTTTTCTTCTCTTTCCCATCATCAAGTTTTATGGAATACATCTTGGCTCGTAGACCGACCCACTCAACAATAGGGAGCCCAGCAGTCTCGTCTTTGAATTTCCCGATGACTTTCTTGTTGACTTCACTATACAGGGGGTGCTCTTTTGGGTAATTGCTGGTGTCATATAAGTGCAGGTCTTGTTTCATATCTTGATACAGGTCTGATGTGGTGACTTGATATGTTAGGCTGTCTGTGTCGGTAAAAAGCAACTTAGCTTTCTGTGGACCGTACTTTTTCATCATATGGTTATAGTGAAAGTCATACATGTGGAGTTTGGATAGCTCCAAGACAGTAAAGCCCGTGTAGATGGGCTTATCGAGCTTTATAGAGGTGCGCTTCGCTTCTATCCCCACAAAGTACTCCTCCTTCTCTTCATTGTTCACGAATACCTCGCTACGCTTGTAGGTGACTTTCGCCACGTGTTTCTTGAAAATCAAGGGTTCAGTCACCAGCTTGATGTTGACTCTTTTGCGTACGTCTTCCATTGTTTTTCCGAATACAGAATTGTTCATGAGTTTAAAGAAATCTTTCTCAAACTCCGTCTTAGCTGCGGCTCTTAATTGAGTGTTGAGTTCAATATAGGGTCGCAACCAGGCTTCCTGCTTAAACTGAAGCGCACGATGAATCTTCTGCAACTTGAGACCTTGTGTGAGATAAAACTTGAGATTGCGGTAATGGATAGGGTACTTGGTCTTGTCCCAGAGATTGGGAACCAACTTTTCCACTTTTGCAGGTTTGTAAACCAGGTCTTCTTTTAATTGCTGCTGATAGGGAGAGAGCATCTCTGAGGTGATAAGCATCTTTTCTGGGGCTAGCGGGTAATCAGAATGCAGATTATGGAGTTCAGGAGGGTACTCTAAATCTACTTCTAAAAAGTACCCAGTGTCAGCCTCATCATCCACGGTCATCACATCTAAAGAAGACAATTCTTGATTAGGCACCCACTTAAAATCACCCACTGGAAGCGATTGTACCATGGCTTCTCCATATAAGTTATTCGAGTCTTCATATGCGATGAATGAGATGGGCTTTTCAGGATCATACTCTTGCAGGTACTTGTTGTTGGCTTCGGCATACCGATGACTGATCATTGAAATACCTCCACGCATGCCTTGCTCCAAAAACTGATGCATCTCAACATCATAGAGTGTGTCAAGCTTGACTTTCGTGTACTTGAGCGCGGCGTCCCACGCGAGCCCAGGCACGGTATAGTAATGCGCAGGATATAATTGATAATGAGTAAGACACACCTGACGAAACTGCTCAAAGATATCTGCCAACAGGAAAATGTCTTGATATAAGTACAGGTCATGGTAATCTCCCATCGTTTGACAACCCATTGCTCTCCAAACTCTTTGCGCGAATTCATACTTTTCTTGAGGGAGGTCTTCTCCAGTCAGGTCATTCTTGAAAGCCTCTTTAGGGGGTAATCTGGTTTCTTCAAAGACTTCAAAATTTTTGATATAGGAATACGGATAGACTCCTTTCTGGCAAAGCAGCTGCATATCTTCTGTCTTATTGAAAGACCACACTTTATCAAAATGTTCTTTGAGGTGTGGGAACTCTGTTAAATTCCCAGCTAAGGCATCCAAACTGGTTCCTGGCCCCAAGAACTGGAGGGAATCCAAAAACCTTAGATTCCCAAGCTGGAAGGAGACGTACTTTTCCATGTTGTTGGGTATCACATTTATTTTTTTCTTGTTGGCATAACGATGAATCCCCTGCATGATCAAATGGCTATCATAACCACGAAGGTTATGGAAAATGACTGGTATGTGAGTACTGCGTTTCTTGTTTAGGTTACAGATAGCATGAGCCGCTCCGCGCTACTCTCCCGTGGCGTGATTGTGATCGCGTACTTTACGCCATTTTTTCTCTTCTTCATAAAATAGGTCTTCACACATGTAGCAATGTGTAGCGGCTTGAAATTCAGCTTCCTG